CGTTGAAAATCTGCATTTACAAGTAACTACTAATAGCTTGCTGTTGACCAGAAGTCTCATCAATAAAATAAAGATAACACATATTTCATATATTATATATGTATTATATACTGTATTCTTATAAAAAAGTAAGCTAGAGAAAATGTTGTTAAAATCATTAGGATGAGAAAATGTAGCCACTGTTCTTTCAGTGGAAATGATCATTGCAAAGGTCTTTATCCTCATCATCTTCTTGGTGAGCGTGCTGAGGAAGAGTGGTTGGTATTGCTGTTTTGAAGATAGCCAAGACACAGGAGGTGGAGGAGCTGAAAGAGGAGGCAGGCATACTTGGCGGTAACTTTTATAGAAGAATTTATTGGTATAAATGGCCCCACGTAGTTCAAACTTGCATTGTTCAAAGGCCAACTATATATTTTTTAATACTCAACAGAATTTCTATTTATAAGCTAAATATGAAATAAAATTTGTAAAAATCTGAACGTACAAAGACTACTTGTCATTCTATCACTAATGAACTTCGTGACCTTCACATAAGTATTGTACTTGCCCGAACCATTATTCTGATAATGTTTTATCTGACTAAATCAATATGGTTCTTTTCCCGTGCTGAGGTTGGAGCCCCAGGTTGTGATTAATTGTCATCCATTTCCAAATAAAAAGTATTTAATCAGCCAAACTTACAGATACAGCAAGAAGTGGTTTAAAGAAAGAGAGTACAAAATTCTGGTCTAGAAAGCTTATTAAATATATGTTTAAAAGATTATATAAGAAGGACAGTAGATTAACAATATGAATATAAGTAGAAATTAAAATTAATAGTGAAGATGAAAAGGATGAGATGACTTATAGAGTTTGGAAGTATTTCTATATTTAGATCTGTTAGTTTATATTTTGAGTATAATACTAATCTCTAGGGATGAACTCTTTAATTTGTACCTGTGTATTTATCTTTCTATAGTAAATTCCATAGTCTTACTCTTTTCCAAAAGCATTTACCTAAATATTTCTACATAGTTCAATGTGCTCTAAATGTTCTCTTTGACACAGAGCAACATAGAATAATTTTTCTTTCATTTGTAATTTTATAGATATGAATACATTTGATTTTTAGGACATTGTACTACTACAATCCTCATAGTCATTAAATTCATGAAGGTAGTCCTTTATATCACTTTGTGCCCATCTTTATCTCCTACTTCGTGAGTAACTTAACAATTCATAAAATATAGCTTAATAGGCAATAGTCTTTCATAACTTTATATCTTCGGACATTGAGATGCAATTTCCATTATTCCTAAAACTAAAAATACATCTGAAAAACATAATTAGCTATACAGTTAACAGGTGAATAGTTACTCTTCAGTCAGTATGAAAAATTCCCGTTCATGAGTTAATGTATTACTGTAATCATAACAACAGAACATAAGGGCAGCGCCTGTGGCTCAAAGGGGTAAGGCTCTGGCCTCATATGCCAGAGGTGGTAGGTTCAAACCCAGCCCCGGCCAAAGACTGCAAAAAAATAAATAAAAAATAAAAATAAATTAAAAAAAAAACAAAAACCAAAAAACAACAGAACATAAATCTACACCAACTCATGCAATAACTCAAATACATTATCACCCTTTAACTTGCTCTAGTTCTGCGTCAATCTTTAACGGTGTTCTACAAAATGTGAGTATTCTTCCAGAGGCTTCTTAGAAAATAAAATCCTACGAACAAACTTTTCGGAGATGTTGGATTCAATGAAGTGAAGCAAATAGTGGTACATTTGTTTCATCATCATTCTGCCAGAAGAGTCTTATTTGAGCACTAAACTGATTTTTGTGCAGTGTCTCATGAGACTGGAGGTAATGCACAGGACATATTTTGAGAAACACCATTAGAAACAATTCACATAAGATCTTAAAATGAATTAAAACAAAAATCACAGCACACTTGACCTCTGTTACTCTGAGAAGAAGATTAGAACCTGCAGGGCCAGGCGCTTTTCTGGAAAGGGTAGAGACAGAATTGCCACCAGCTTCTTTTAGATTTTACTGGTAGGACACTGTTCCTTTATTTCTCTTTAAGTATAAAGAGGAAATCCAAACTGTAGCAAAAATGGTGTTTCCTTATAGGACATTAAGTCAAAAATGAAATTGTAAAAAGAAAACTAGTAGAAACAAATTTGTAGTTTTTATTACAGTTTTATTATATTATGGACTTGAAAAGCAACTAGTGTTGCAACTCAGAATTGCCTATCTCATATGAAGTCAATTTGGAGGGTAAGGGGTGGAGATTGCTCTTCTCCTATGGGAATTACATGTTTCCTTAAAAAAGCACACACACACACACACGGAACTCTCTGAGAGTTTTTTGTATAGGTATCTCCAAAAGTGTCATTTCAGCCAAGTTATTTTTTCAATGTGCCACATAATCTTTGTATAATTTATAAATGATAACAAAGCAATCAGACCACATTCATAAAAGCCCAGTGACACAGAATTTAGTTGAATCTGAGGATTAGAATTAATTGTCTCTCTTTGTTCCAAGTTCTAAATCTTAGTAAATAATTCACTGCGTGTCATTAGGGCTTAATATTTGCATGAAATCACAGTTTAGCTGGCATAATTTAGCAGCAATTAAAAAGCTATTTAATCATCATGCAAATTGGTAAGAGGACCCTTGGGTAAGAAGGGTGTCGGCCTTTTGTTTTTTTAAAGTATCTTCAGGCAGTTATATACTTGTAGACACCCATAACATCATTGATAACATTCTTCCTAGTCATGGTGAATATATAATTGAATAATATATATAAGTGAATAATAATTGATGTTTTACATTATAAATAAAAGACCAACACTATGAATATGTCATCCTGTAGGGAGATCTTGTTATGATAGTGATAATGAATCTTAATCTCCAGGACATAAGTCTACTTGGAGGTAAAACGCTACATTTTTCCCTGGGTTCTAGTTTATAATCTGCTGCATATTTTCCTTTCTGAAAGCAGACACTTCTGTAAATGCTCTGGAACATGAAATAGCATAAATCAAGGTACCTAACAACCTTTTAGAAAAATTACCCATTTTTAAGTCTAGCTTTGGGTACTATGCATGTAAGTAGTCCTATTCCTTAGTCTACAGGCCACTGACATCGGGATCTGGCAAAAAGATAAAGGAAAATAACTCATCTTAAATCTCAAACCCAATACACAGTCATGTAAATGTCTGACTAATAGTTACTCCAGCAGAGCCTGGCAGCTTCCACTGCTCGGTCTGTCCTTGTGCTCATTCAGATCACTCACCCCAGTGCAGCCATAATGCTCTTTAAAAAACATAGCACATCCGTAAACAAAATGTGTCATTTTCTTCCTGTCGTACGTAGAAGAATCTCCAGAGGCATCTCAATGAGTCTAGTGGGACTGCATTATCAAGCCTCCTCCTGTTCGTCAAAACTCACTTCATGAGTTCTCCTTCTGCACTCTAGCCACGGTGATTTTCTGTTAGTTCCATAAGTGCATCAGGATTGTTTTTGAGTAAAGAAATACACATTTTTTACCCCTAATACTTTTCCCAACCCTCTGCACATTCTCCTTACCAACCCCACGGGGCTTTCTCATAATGTTACCTCTAAACTAATGGACCACCAGACTTTTTACTTCAGCTCCTATCCTTTTAAATTTTGGAATTGCACTTATTATCATTTGGATTGTGTTCATCTGTTTACACGTGTGTTTAGTGTTCTGTAAAATATAATCAATAAGAAAGCAAGATAATGTCTATCTTGTAAACCTGAGAACTCCGCAAGAATCTACCACACACGTACTCATCACTAAATAAAATATATATTTAATGAATGAATGATTGTAGCTTAAAATCTAAAAGGAATCTATTTCAAAATTTTAATTTCTTTCTAGAACAACGTGTTGTAAAGATATTCCTTTCCACACTTTTAGCAAATTTCCTTGGTAACAGAAACTTAGAGAGTTGGTTTAGATTTCTGTAAATGAAGTCTTCTAAAATATGGCAGGAATTTTATCCCACCAGTCTTCTGTACAATGAAATATTTTTCAAATTTCTATCATAAGCATGGTATCTTAAAGAATATGAATTCCATGGTATTTCAAATATGGCACTTAGAATAGTGCCCAATACCTACCAGACTTTCAGGTAATATTTGCTCAATAAAGTTTATGGAACAGAGGTTAAAAGGACTCAGACAAATGTAATGGGTTATTGATGAAATTTTAAGAAAAGCTGGAACAATTAAAGGCTATTAAATGCCCTATACAGTGTGATTCATTATGGAAAAATAGCGAGAAAGAAAGTTCTCACTCCTTGGACTTGTTTATGTTGTCTTGATGACAAAGAAGAGGATTGTGTGAATCTCATTTAGGGACACACTTTTAAGCACACAATTAGTTGTGTTTAGTAGGTTTTCTGCCACCTCCAATTTCCATTTATTTTCTCCTTTTCCAACCTGTCTGTCCACCCTAAATTTGTTGTCATTTATTCTCAGTCTTTGGGGAAAAGATTCTTAGTGATTTTCAAGGTGATGAATAGGGGTTTTATCTACAGACCAGCCATGGTATTGACACTGAAAGACTGAACACAACATGTCTTCAATATATGTTACTTTTTTTTAAATTTTGAGAATGATAATGTCATTAACAAGAGATAATTACAGTCATGACATAAAATAATTTTTGATTTGAATTTTTCAGTCAACAAATTTTAAAAGTATAATTACCATATCTTTTGCAGATATGTTTATTTTTTTATGCTAAGTGTTGGGATCCATCTATCAAAAATTAGGGGATAGATCATCTATACTACTAAAGACTCCTTCCTTACTAGACTTAATCAGATATTTTTAGCCCCATGCTCTTTATAGTTGCATTAGAAAAAGAGTTCAAACTAATATAAAAGACCACAACAAATATTTATTGATAAAGTTATCAAATTACTATGATTCATTGTTCTATACGTGTACATTTGTTTTTTAATTGCTTTCTCTAGGGCCACCTTCAGCTCCTAGGAATGTGGTTTTTAACATCAATGAAACAGCCCTTATTTTGGAATGGAGCCCACCAAGTGACACAGGAGGGAGAAAAGATCTCACATACAGTGTGATCTGTAAGAAATGTGGCTTAGACACCAGCCAGTGTGAGGACTGTGGTGGCGGACTCCGCTTCATCCCAAGACATACTGGCCTGATCAACAATTCCGTGATAGTGCTTGACTTTGTGTCTCACGTGAATTACACCTTTGAAATAGAAGCCATGAATGGAGTTTCTGAGTTGAGTTTTTCTCCCAAGCCATTCACAGCTATCACAGTGACCACGGATCAAGATGGTAAGTTCCACTGCTATTCTTTCAACTCAGCCTCGTAGTTCATTTTGATATGTACTATCTCCAATGGGCCTGTCGTCACCAGAGGTGCAATGCAGTCATAAGTGCCAGACACTATAGAGATAATTTTCTGATGTGTGGGAGGTGGTTCTGGTTCTTTCCCTAGATGGAGAAAGATATTTTTGTTATTATTTCTTAGCAGTATGGTTAATAAGACAAAGTGCTTCCTTCCATGTGTATGTATTTGTTTTTGATATAATCATACACAGTATATCTTAATAAGTCCATATTCCTTACAAATGGACATCGGAAACCAATAAAATTTAGCCGAGTAATTTTAATTCCCCTCTTATGCTGCCATCCTTTTTCTATGTCAAATAAGGCAAATAGTAAGAATTTATTTGTCTGTCTTGTAAAAGCATTGTAGCTACTATATTTAACCATGATCCACTTTAAAAAGAAATAGCCAAGAAAATCTAGGAATGTGTTCAAATGCTATGGTCTACGTGCACTTTGTGAAAAGTAGTTAAACTGTCTATAAAAATCTGATGATTTCAGTTAAATGTTCTCTTATAACACTATAGATTTTTACTACAGTATAGCCAGGCATGAACACTCCTGTGATTTTTACAAGTACATTCTCTCTTTAATTCCCCCATAACATAATTATATTGCAGAACATGAAATGGGAAAAGCTTCAGAGACTTAAAAAACTCCTTTTGAGAGGCATTAATAAATTATGTGGGTACACAGGTGATTGCTTTGTAGCTGAAAACTATTGAAAATTAACACTTATATATGACTCAAACTTATAAAGATAAAACTGTTCTTCCACACTGCATTAAATTGCTAGGGCAGCCCTAACAAATACAACAGACTGTGGAGCTTAAACAGTAGACGTTTATTTTCTCATAGTTTTGCCAACTAGACGTCCAAGATCAAGTTGTTGACAGAGCTGACTTGATTGTGAGGCTTATCTCCATGGCTTGTAGATGAGCATCTTGTCCCATGTCTTCATGTCGTCTTTTCCTTTGTGTCTCATCTCTTCATTTCTACTTTTTACAAGGGCACTTAGTCACATTGGGTTAAGGACGCACTCACATGAGCTCATTTTACCTTAACTATTCTTCAAGGACCTCTGTAAATAAAGTCACATTTTGAATTAGCAGGGATTATGATTTTGATATATAAATTTTCAGGGATACAGTTCAACTCCTAATAGACCCTAAGGCAGCATGTGGTGATATTTAAGATACAGTATGTTGATTGTGCTAGTACGCAGCAATAGAAATGAACAAACTAATTGATACACACAACTTGAATGACCCTCGCATGCACTATGCGGAGTGAAAACGTAAATGTCAGAGGATGCATACTGTGTAATCCCACTCATATAGCCTTTCTGATATAATTACAGATATGGAGAAAAGATTGGTGGCCACCAGTGATAAGAGATTTGGGGGAGGGAAGTTTGGCTATGAGGTGGTAGAAGGAGAAAGCGTAGTGGGTAGTGTTCATCTATATCTTGATTGTGGTGCTAGTAACAGGAGGCCTATGTGATAAATCAAATAGAGCTGTGTACACACTCATACATACAGAAGCCTTGTGGATCAGACCAATACCGATTGTCAGGTTTTCTTGTTGAACTATAGTTATACAAATAGTTAACTTTGGAGGAGGCTAGGTACAGGATGTATAGGGCCTCCCTGTGTGTGTGTATATATACATACTTTTTTTGGCAAATTCCTATGAATTTGTAATTATTTCAAAATGTGAATTTTGAAAACATTATTAAACCTATGATGTGTAAGAAGAAAAATTTTATATTCTACTAAAATATATAAGAAATGGATGAAATTGAATATTTTATTTAAAATGTTATTGGTAAATTTGCTTTGCTAATAAGCTTCAGAAATGCCTGTAGTAAATCAAGGCCACATAATGTTATGCAATCACAGTCTTTGTATTTAATATGTATCTTTCCCCTTCATTTTAGCAAATAGCTCCATAAATTTGCTTTGTGGTTGGTCTAGATGGAATCCTTATTTCCTTTATTTTATTTCTCTATTTCCTTTAGAATCAACAAAATCCTGTCAAATCCATCTTCCACCTAAAATAGAATAGGGACTTCTGTCCCTCTCTGCTGTGGCAGATTATTTCTAAGGTTTTTATTGCTACCATGTGATCAAAAATATAGTCCAATGCAACCATTCTTAACCATAGCACAAAAATAATATAAGGAAAAATATACCACTTTATATATCATATATATGATAATATGTTTCAATAATTGCATATATACAGGAGGTTTTCCTCCTACAGTTATAGAGAGGACATTTAGTCTATTTCTCTACTCATCAGGAAAATGGAGTATGAGTTGTTTTCACCTTTGAAATGAGGTAATTTATTAAAAGCATTTTTTCAGTATGAGTAAAAGGCATATTCAATGTGAAAGAAGATACAGTATCCATATATTTTTACTCTACATTCTAAAAGCTTAGTATCAGCAAGGACTCCTCCCAAGTGAATTTATCCTTGTTGAATATTCAGAAATGATTATGGTTAATTTGATTTTGTTTTAGATATAAATAGTAACAACAAATCAAAATGTTTTTTTTTTTTTACTTAAAAGTACATAAATGTCCTAAACTATTATCACATACAGTAGAACCTGTATAAGTTGACCACCCAAGGGACTGTAACCAACTGATCTACATATGGAGGTAGTCAACATAAGCGAGTAGGCCAACAGTTCTGATGCATACATGTGGTGCATGTCTGGTCTAAGAAAATTAGGCCCACTTAAGGAGGTGGCCAGTGTAGGGGAGGTGGTCAACTTCTACTCTATTTAATTCAAAAGTATGTATAATATTTTCTAGTATTATATATAAGCAGCTAATTTCATATCATAATATTGAGAGATACCACAGTGACCCTCTCTACTTGTGTATGAAATTCTAAAATTAGAGAATCACATGTGTGAAAATGTAATTACTCAGGGCAAGGGTAACATCATGAAATAATTCAATCTGTGAATTTGTCAGTTATTCTTTTCATATCCAAAGGAGTCAGAATCTAGTGTTGAATTGAAAGGATATTTATAGAAACTGGAAATTCCAGAACCAGATTTCAAGTAACACATTTGTGCCAGCCTTAAAGAAGATAATTTTATTGCTACAGAATAGAGGGAGGGATTTCCTATCACTCCAGTTGGAATATCTTTGGGAATTCTTTTCCAAGTGAATAAGGAGGAATGTTCCAAAGTTATCTAATGATATATTACAACTTCATTGGACTAAGGGGATCGCATAAAATGGTTGGCCTTCTTATCTGTAGGTTGTATATTAGTGTTTTTATACTAAAATGGAAAAGTGATGTGTGTTACTTATAAACTTTCAACTGATTTGACGTATCATTTAGTGCATTCCTGTGTACCATATTGAGTAAGCTCTTATGAACCTTAAGTCTAGTGGGGAGATAGAAAATAAACAACTAATTTCACAAATATGTAATTGGTACTATTGTGAGGTCTGCCAATGAGAAGCCTGGGATGCTCCGACAACATATATTCCCCAGATCTAGAAGATAAGAGGTGGGGGTTCTTTCTGAGGAAGCAACATATAAATTTGATTCTGAGGGACAAATAGGATCTGATTAGGCAAAATGAGCCTGGGAGAGGGAAATAATCTGAATAGAAGGAACCATGCAAGGGTTGAACAACTGAGGGATTAGGCAGCTCAGATGGTATATTATACAAGTACAGCAGGATTTGGAGAAGAAACTCAAAAGTTCTTCTAAAATTTGGGAAAATGAGGGGTGTCTGCAAATTACTGAAACACGTTGGAGGAATCAGCCCCTTATCAGAAGATTTCACCAGGGATACAAATAGGGAAAAGAAAGTCAGGAGAATAACAACATAGCTCATGAGTTCACGCTTATGAGTCTGCAAGAAAATATGAGACAAGAAAGTACAAACAACAGTACCAATTATGTTTTTACTACTCTATGACTCCGTAGAGTAGTTTATATATAAACTATATATATAAGATGGTACATATATTACATATACCATCTTATATATATAGCTTATATATAGACTATATATATATTCTATAGTCATATATAATAGTCATATATATGTTATATATACCATCTTATATGTGGTCTATGTAGTTTATAGACTATGTAGTTTATGTATAGACTATAAGATGGTATATATATGTATATATATAGTTTATATATAGACTACATATAAGATGGTATATATCTTATATTCTATGGATTCATAGAGTTGAAAGTGAAGACATGGAGGACATTTGCATTGGTTTGGCTTTTCTTGCATGTAGTTGACTATATATAGTATATAGTCACATATATAATATAGTCATGTAGACCATCTTATATATAGTCTATATATAAACTTACAGACTATAAGATGGTATATATGACTATGTATATATGACTACATAATGACTATATATGGCTACATAATATATATATATACATGCACATCAGTGTATGTATATATAGATTTCTCTCATATTTATGAAATATTAAAAAACCCACTTTAAACAACCCTGACTTAACTGTTCTCCCCCTGTTTACAATTAAACAAGTGTAAAAAATTTTTTGCAAACCACTTAGAACCACTTCAATGTAATTAGGAGAAAGATCTCTCAACTGTTCTGATTATAGTTGATAAATAACATCATAGAGTTACGTCTATGACTCTCATAATTAGGAATATTTGCAATAAATTCACTGACTTACATGATTCCTAAACATATTGGCAACCTTCTATTTTCATAGTTTATTTAAATGGTCTTCAAAGGTGTTTCATTTAGAAAGTAAAACAAGAAAGCAACACCTAGAAAACATTTGATTTTAATCTGTGATACGTTATAGGTGTAAGAAAACTAAGGTACATAGTTCAGTAAAAAGTAATTACTTAGGTCTTAGACTGTAAAGGAAAATGTTAATCATGGATAGTCAACCTGAGACAA